ATAATTTTTAATTTTTTTGGTATATGTATAAATGTGGCTATTTTTATAAGTATGGGTGTCCATACATAAGATTATCAGAAAATATGAGCAGTAATTATAGTAAATTTAAAATTTATTGGTAATTTTCTAATATTTCCTCAACAAGAGTCTTTGTAAGTAATACTATAAAGCCAAAAATTCAATAAAATATTAGATTACTTAAAATATTTTCCTAAATTTCTAACATTACTGGGTAGTTAAAATATATATAAAAATTAAAAAAGTTAATCTTCCTCAAATAAAGTTTCAGAAAAGCTTATTTTATTTTTGAAAGATTTTTTAATAAAGTGAATTATATTGCGTGGACAGATTTGTCAATATAGCCGATTTTAGCGAGTTCAAAAAAATCATTCCAATCAATAAAATCAGTTGGAAATACAGCAAAGTATTTTGCTTATTGTAATATTAAATTAAATTTACTTTAATTTATTAGTTTGAAATTAAAGCTAAAATAAAAGCTTCAAGAAAGATTTTTCATTTTTAAATGCATTTAAACCTTAGGCATGTTTTTTTTGGGGGGAGGCAGCTTTTTTAATTCATAATTGGAATGAATAACAAGAAGTTTTAATTAATTATTAACAGCGATTATAACGCACGTCATAATGAATGCAAAAAATGTTATAAAAATACAAAAACATAGTAAAAACAAATGATAAGTTGTGGCGGAATTCCAAACAAACGTCGGAGTTATCAATAAGATGCAGCGTGTCTAGGCCTCTCACCACATTTAATTTTTGTTTAGGAACCCAAACTGATATAAGAACAAGGGCCAAGGCAAAGGTATCAATATATAAATTGTATTCAACAAAGCGTACAATAAAGAATATATACGAAAAAGATGTATGAAATGAGTCAGATGAGAGTAGTCTCTCTTTGACTATAAAAGTTTATCAATGTTCTCGGAAAAGAAAATGAAAGAGTTATTATTAGTCTGTTATAAATGTTTTAGACAGTTCTGCCATGCAAGAGGAAAATTATGTAAGTGTGATAGAATATGTAATTTGAGAGTGAGTGAGAAGATGGGCACATGTCTTCAACTGACGTGGATTCCAGTAGCAGTCGAAGTCTCACTGGTGTTGGTCCTCTTTTGTTCTGTTTATATAGGTAGTCATTGAATTAGGAATCTGCGTGGGAAGAATCATTCTCCACATGCAGAGAATCTGATTGGTTGATACTGACCAATCAGTGCCTGAATTTGGGGGAGACATCTGGGAGCCAATTCTCCCAAAAGTGCACAAAATTTACTATATGAAAATATAGCAATTTTAAAATTGTCACTTCAGATAGCAGCGTTGCTTTCTGTCTAATGAATGAATTCTGTTAAAGATTTGAATTTGTACGGGTGTATTTGTGTGTGTGATGATGATGATGATGATTGCTATAATGTTATCCCTTGAAATGTTATTGCGAATATGCCATATGCAATCTCAGCTGCAAATGCAGTTAGTGTTAGAGACTGTTAGTGTTCTTTCATGTTTAGTTTGCTTTAACTTTTCTTTAAAATTAACTATATTAAAAAGAAAAAAAATCACACTAATTAGTAATTAGTCACTAATACGGGTTTAACTGTAGTCTAAACGAATATAATTGAGATTATTTCAGTAGTTACTAGTTGTCATTTAATTAATAACGATCATCAATTTTTTAATGTCATTGTCCACAATAATACCACAAAGTAAATGTTTTTCTTAAGAATGAATACACAGCAATATTTAATAATTGAAATATTTAAATATTTATTTGGGAATTCGTTGATTCAGTAGACAATGTAACTATCTGTAAAATACACTGTCACTTTGTAACCATGCCATTTAAAATCAACAAAATGAAATGCATGTTACATCATTCTAACTAAATAAATGTTTAATTCCGACGGACAAACGGTGATACCCCAAATTAAGTCCCTAAGTTTTAAAGAAGCTAGTGTTTATTTTTCGTCTGCGACAGGAGTACTAAAAGACTAAAACAATAAACCAAACACTAAACAAAATTTGTTTGGATTACAATTTATACGATTCTAAAAATCAGTCCCAAGAGGAATTTGTTGACGTATGCGTTGGCGTCAGATTTAATTTAAGAATTAGAAGTGAAATTTTAAAATAATGAAAAAATATAAGTTTTTTAAATTTATATTAAAAAACAAACTAGAAATAATTTTGGTAAACATTCATTTGTTCATATAGGAATTTTTAAAATTTTTTATTACGCTTTGCTTTTTGAATAAATGAAAATTAATCTTTTAATTTTTTTTTTAGAAAATTATCTTTTTAAAGATTTTTTTTTAGAGGGAATTCGATTTACCATGCTAAACTGGACTTTTACTTTGTGTCCGTTGGTTTTAATGAAAATGACGTATTTTTCGCAAACAGCTATAATTTAATTTCAATACAGAAGATTAAAAAAAGAGAAAGTTTGCTTAGCTTCCCCCATCTCTCCACTTCAATTCAGTTCGTGCTGTTACGAAAACTACAACCCCTGATTTACGTGTTTAACACTTAAACTTTTCTTAGGGTTCCATACCATAAATTTAAAAACTATCCACATTTGCTTAAAGGAAATTACTAAATCACTATCCAGTTTAGCATTATTGACATTGTCACGTTGTAAAATCATATAAAATGTAAATTAAAAATCGGTGTCTGAAATACTAAGGCACAGTGACATGATTCATTTTGGGCATTATTGTTGTAAAAAAATCGAATTTTGGAGTCACCGCTCGCTTTCACTAGTAAAAAACTTTCATTTTCTCGAAAAGGAAGTCTCAAAGAAAAAATAAGTAGTTTTTATAAAGATCAAAACAAGCTACAATACATCGAAAAAAAAATCCTTATCCTAAATTTTTATCACTTTTTTTTACAGTTTTTACGTTACTATAATTTTCTTTATCCATATAAAAATAAAATGTATGAATTTCTTACAACGCGGAGCAAACCACATTTATCTGGTCTGGGACACACTAGTAAAAAAGTCTTACTTTTTTGATTTACACATAGTATTATTTATAATACATTTTTTTTTATATTTTGCGTTGATTAAAGTTTATTTTTATGATTAAATAAAATTATTTCATTTTATTTTTTAAAATTGAAACTTCTTTTTTTTATTCTTTTATCAACTTCTAGCGTCAACGCTCAACATTTCTTCCGAATTAAAAGAAAATACATCCGATATTATTAACCATGCAAGCTCAAGTACAGTGATAGCTAGTCTACCTTTTTTTACATAAAGACAAATTTTATACGATTTGCTTCCCTTATTTGTTCGTTGGGAAATAAACAGACAATATAAACAATTCTAACTTTGATACAAACAAAGCCATTTCTTTGATGAGAAATCTAAGCACTCTTAGCATCACGTGGTTATGGATCAAGGGAAATAATTCCTGTCTGATTTGTCTTCCGTGTCTGTTGGTTTTTGATTAAGATTTTTAAGATTAATGATTTCTATTTAAATTTTAAATTAATTTTATCTTTTGTCCCTTAACTAGAGCAATTCGATTATCACGGGAATTCAAAGACTTTTTTTTTAAATTATAACCCTTGAAAATGCACCTCATTACTCGACCAAATTATTACCGATAAATTTTTAACGAGTCAATGACTTTACTCAACAAATCAAATCAATAATAACGACGAACATCTGGCAAGTATGTATGTGACTATAGTATACTCATAAACATTATGAAACAATAAGAATAAAACAGCTATCTAAAGTTTGACTAGTTTGTTGTTGACATTAAAAGGCCGTACAATTTTAATTTTTATTGACATAACAGTTGATACTTGACAGTAACATTTTTCAGTCTGGACATTGAAAAAGAAAAGACTGAAATTGGAATAATTAATTAACCAGTACCGTTTTCATTTAATTTTAAAAAAAGTTTACATAGCCTTATTAATATTTAAAATGAAATTGAATTTAAAAATAACCTAACTTGAAAATAAAAGTAAAAAATCATAATTTCTACACATAAACTAGAATGAAATGAATTAAAGTTTAAAAACGGACGCTTCAAAACGGAACGACAGAGACAAGACAATTTATCTGACAAATGTGAGTGTGACGGAGTGGCAGAACCTGCTTTGAAAAAATATTTTAAAAATTATGTATTTATTTTTAGAAAAAAAAATTGAACTGCGACAAGAAGACAGTCCGCTTACTGATTTACAGTTATATTAAAAATTTAAAACAAACACATTCATTAGGACTGAGATTTTTGCAAATTTTCTGCAGCTGCAAAGTTTAGTAAATGTAAGACTAACGAACCCCCAACTCTTGAAAGTCATATTTCCCGCAAAACTTAGCGCATGCGTATATTTTTCATCAGGTCTGCTTTTTTTTTTAAATTATTAATGGCGACTTTTTGCACTATTTCTGTATTTAGAAATACATTTTCTATTTTCTTTTACCTAGCGTTTCCATGAAATTGAAATATAGTACCTGGTATGCTATGCATATGCAATATTTTACTTTTTTTTTTCTCAATCGTAGTTTTTTGTTTGAAGCATCCGTTTTCTACCTTTTTCGCAATGTGCTTATTAAAATTTTAAAAAATTATCAGTCTTTACTTTAAGTAACTTAATGAATGAGGAATAAGAAAAAATTAATCAGCTCTTAAAAAGTAAGTACATTAACGGGTAATTTTTAGCGATAAACTACTATAACTACTATAACTAATACTACTACTATTTTTAGTAGCAGCGTTATTAGTTCCAATGCAGGCGTTCAGTAGAACATACAACTTTTAAGTACACGCTTATCGCTTACTATGTGTAGCACCAGCAGCGATAATATATCTACTACACAGCAAAATGAATATATGGTGCTATTATTATTATGACTGTAATGTCACATACAGCTGACTCCTCCATCATAATACTGACTTAAGGGCACATATACATAAAAATACGCACTCGCCACTGCTGCGCACGGCATTTCGGTTGGTATTTAAATTAAATACCATGCAAAACCAGGTAAGAAAATTATTACATTGATTTTTTTTTAATTATGTTTTCTAGTATTGCAAAAAATTATTACGTTATTAATTTTTCTAGTTTAATTTTTTACGTTAATCGCTTTTTTTTTAGTCTTAAAGTATTTTAAAAATAATGAAAGCAGCATCTTAACAAATTAAATAATTATATTGTTGTTTGCGGCACTTAATTAAAAAAAGGACCATGTGAAAAATAAAAAAATTCTTGGTTTTTTTATTTTATTTTAGAGACTAAACTTAGGCGGACACTAAATTACAAAAAGAAAAAAAAAAAAAATCTTCAGAATTTCTTGTCTGTCATCCAGACCTTACGAAATATTTACTCATATTTTATGATGTTATTGTTTTTGATCATGACTTTTTGTTCTGTGAAGATGATGAGCTTTTAACCAGATTCCTTATTCCATTACAAAGAAAAAGTAGAAAGGTCATCAGCACCATATGCGGTCATTTTTATTTTTGAATCTACCAATAATGTAAACATGTATACTCATGGAACACACAAGTACTCCAATAGGACTTTTTATTTTTTAAGTGGAAAGACGACTTTTCATTACATGGACTCTGATTTTATTTATTGAACGGAAATACAAGAATGCGACAGGTGCCTAAAACTTACGAAACAAAGGTTCGTTACTGCTAGTGTTTTTTTTTGTTTGTTTTCGTTATTTTTTTTTTATATCAGCTTCGTCATTACTTGCTCAGGCCGTTAAAACCTTGCAAAACTTTATTAATTTTATTTCTCAAACAATTCTTTTTAAGTTAAGCTATCTTTTTTCCGGTTTAAGCAGTGTATATTTTAGAATTCCTAAAAACTGCTTCGTACTATTTACTGATTATCCCGTGCAAGTTGCTGCTTCAGCTTCATTAGTTTTATTTTCGGCAAATTAAATAAATAACATATCTTCCGATATTAACCAACACAACAATCGACACAAAAGAAATTAAAATGGTGTACTGTAAACTCTGAACTCTATTTTTCTTTCTTCACTAAAATTAATGTTATCTATTTCAACTTACTTGTGTTTCTTTTCTCTTAGTCCTTACCTTATGGTAACAATTGATACCCCAATCTATTGTATTTCTCTTCATAAATCAACGGTATGGGAAATAATAGAAACCTAATTTTTTTGCCAATATTATTTTACTTAATCTATGCAGTTTTAATTAAAATTTTAATTAAAAACTTATAACAAAGCCTTAAAGATTTTTTTCTTATATCTTTCGTTTTTAGTTCGATTATGAAATAAAAATGGATTGAATTTGAATTTTTAAGTTAACCTTTTATTTTCATGATGGTAATGTCTGGTTTTCGTTAAAAACGAAGAATTACAAACTGATTAAAAGACGCGAGCAAATAATTTCTTCGTATTAAAAATCATCAGACTATAAAAAGGGATAAAAAGTATCAAGACAAAGACCAATCAGACTTTTTTTTTTACTTATATAACAAGTCTGATAAAGCCTAAAAAAGAAGAGTTGATAAATTACCACTTTAAAATTAATTAAGTGAAGTGACTTAACTTAATTATAAGTAATAATAGTTTTCAGCTCTTTCTTGATTTTATTTTTAGTTCTTTCTGTTTTTTGTTGTTGTTTTTTACTGCTGCTTAAGTGCTAATATTCTTTTTATATCTAAAAGAACGATGTATCCTCTTGTGTCCAGCACAAGAAAACAAACGAGTGGCGGACAAGAAAGAAAATCTGAAAAAGTTTGTTAATGTTATTTTTAACTTAAAAAATTACTTTTGAATCGCTTAACTGGGAGAATGCCCCGCTTGAAACATGTCACTGTTCAGATCAGAAATTTTATTTTTTATTTATTAATTCTTAAGCTATTCTAACAAAAAAGTTTTCCTTTAAAAATGGTTTAATTTCGGACAATGACTGCCCTTTTTTTAATTTCTAAAAAGTAAAAACTAAAGTCAGCCCTTATTATTCCATATTACTCGGGTAACATTCTTTACAGTGGATGAAGAAGAGCCTTTTTAGTTTAAATAAATAAACATTTTTTTTTACTTTATGAACTAAGTATCTTCATCTTCGTCGTTTGTACACACTTTTTCAGGCAACGTGTTCTTTGGCTTTACACAGCTAGCTATATGGCATCTTGTGTCTCCCTGTGAATGTTTGTGCGTGTGTAAGTAAATGTTCAATTATACGTGGAATTGTTAAGTTAAAACAACAAAATGTCATTCATTGTCCGTAGTCTTTTAATTAAACAATGATTGATTGCTGCTTAAATAGACGTAAATTCTTGCCACCTCTTCAGTTAGAATTAAGATGAGAATCGGCCAAACCTTTTGTAGTCAATCAATCAATATATTCATTCTATGAGTTGTAGGGAAAAAATGCATCAGCTTTAGGATTTAAATTTTAGAAAGAGATTTTCAGTTCTTGAGTGGTTATTGAAACAGGACTAACCCTTAATGTAAACTTCCTTTATTCGTAGTTTAACCAGAGTACTGCAATGACGGAAATTTCCGTCATCAGCAGTTCAATAGTAATGTTTAAACTAAAAACAGCTTATTTACATTGGATTTGTTATTTGCAAATGTCATGAAGAATAGCCTTGAATAAGTTCATCTTTCTTTTTGAATAAAAAATTAAAATTTTTTTAAAATCTGAATTTAAGAGCAGAAAGTTGGAAGGATTGTAAAAAAAAAAAAAAATGACATTGCTAAGCGCTACAAAGGGTAGGAAATTGTGGAGAGCCATGATGGTCCACTTCCTGAAGGATCTGGGCACATAGAATATCAGGGTTGTAGGTGAACTGAGACCACTTCATGTAATACCTGTCAATTTCAAGGAAGTTCATATTTTGACATTTTTTTATTATTTCAAGCAAAGTGCTATGACTTGTGATGTGGTAAAGTTGACATAGACACTGAAGAAACATTTTTTAAAATGTCTATTCAGTCTATGATGTTACAAAAAGAAAAAACATTAACCTAAGAACTTGAGTCATGTCCTTAAATAGCTGCATCAGATCAAGACTTTCATATGGTTGTCATGCCTGATGCCCGACTTGTTAAAAACAAGTGTCTAACAAACTGTCAGCTGTATACAACCACTTTTGCAGATCATTGATTAAAAAATGGCTTTGAGTGAATGAACTCTGTAGGTCTTTGAGAGGACCATACTTCTTTGAACCTTATGGCTGGTGCTACATAATCACAGTGCTGTATCAAATAACAGAAGCCACATCATTTGAGGACTTTCAACAATAGTAACAACTAAAATGGAAAGCACATGTAACTCAAAAAGAAAATAGTGATATAATCAAGATGTCGATACTCCATGTTGCTTCAAACAAAAGGTTATGAAGGAAACCCCTCTTCAATACTGGAAAGAGTAATAACAGTGAACTTGAGAAGTCTATTTCCCTGAAAAATTGTTTTCATAGAAAGATTTTATAAATTTCAACTGAAAGTAGCACTAGCTGTTCAGTCAATGCTGAATGTTTCCTTATCAGGAAATGGCTAATATTACCATTAGATCATAATCATCTGCAACATATATCTTTTTTTAAGGTAATGAAGGGGTATTGAAAAGTTATCAGCTTCATCTACTTCCTACACTCTGACCAAATAGAATTTTAGAAAGTCTCTGCTTGATAAGTCATAGAACATTTTAACATTCCTTGTATAAGTTCCTCCTGTTTATTGTTGCTCAATGATAGTGTTTTAATATTGAGAATATAGTTTTGCCATTGCGTGCAATATCAGGTTTAGTCATTTTTGGTCATCCATACATCAGCTGTTTAGCTTTCATCATATCTGAATAATAAAAGCTGACACAATATCTTTGATGAGAGTTGATTGGTAGCAGACCATATTTGTAATCAAATGTATTTTCATTAAATTTTAATTAAAAAAAATATTTTTCTAAAATCTGGTTTTGTAATCATTAACTAATTTTTGTTAAATACTATATTTCTACAATGGCTACTTTATTTTTGGAAGATATTTAATTTTTTTATGTTGACAGACATAAAAGAGTGTAATCAATGTTAATTTTAGATGACAAAAACGAATATTAAAAACAGTATAAAACAATTTGGAGTTTTTAAAAGTGATTTTTGTGTTTTATAAGTAATTTTTTTGTTAAATGACAACTTCAAAAATACTTCAATAATTTTATGATCATTGCTAGAATTTGTAATGTTTTGGTACCTGCAAAATTGAAATGAGCATTATAGAAATTATATATAACATTTTATGTGGATATATTTTGGAATTAGATATGCAAAATATGAAAACTGTATCTGATCTTCATTTTTAGATATAAACAAAATATAGTTTAACATATTTTGTCCATTACAAAACAATGCACTCCAATTTTTAATTATCATAGAGAACCACTTTCGGCTTCCATCAGTACGGCTGATGCTAACTTCCACAGGAACAACTCATTGCACCTTCTTGGTCTCATGTTTTCCATGGACATGGATTGATTATATTGAATTAATTGCTAGGGCTGCTGCTAGAAAAGTTGGTTCAATGTGTCGTGCTAGACAATTTTTCTAACCAAAATCCATCTTGCACATTTATAAATTTATCATTCATCCATGTATTGAATATGACTCCCATATATGGACTAGAGCTCTTGTATATATCTATAGGTTCTTGATAAAATCTAAAGAAGAGTCTGTAAATTTATTGGTCATGACCTGGCATCTCAACTTCAGTCACTTTCCCCCTTCTATGACGTGGTTTTTCTATAAATATCTTCATTGGTCTAATGAGTTCTCCATCTTAGTACCTCAAGCACATGAATTTAAGTGTAGTACTATATTGGCAACTATGGCTTATTGTTTTACTTTTGAAATTGATAGATGTAACTGTAAATTCTTTTATAATATATTTTTTTTTTTGTATTTTCACCTCTTCCAATTTCTTGCTTCCCTGTCACTTACAATCTTAAAAAATTTAAATATAGGATCAATCATCATTTTCTGTCTTCTTGAAGTCTGTTCTT